TATGAAAGTGATGAGGCGGACCCTGAACAGGAAACGAACAGGAAGAAAGAGAGCAAGGCTGTCAAGTTGTTCGTCCGAACCTTTGTCCCCTGATGATCACAGTAGCACTGCTTCTACTCCTACTGCACAAGAACTGAGTTCTGTGACACCATCTACATCACCTAACAGAAGCTTTAAATTTCTAAAGGACAGTAAACAGGTAAGAGTTGATTATAACCCCTTATCCGCCTGCTGCACAACTGGATCCTACTTTTGAATATTCTTCATGTTCTTTTATCCACTTATATCCTTATACGGTTGGAAACCAACTTATTTTTTCTCAAGTGCATCTACACGGCACAACAGTTTCTTGTGAAAATAAAATTTAATCCATGGCAGTTGTTTTAGTACTAATGCAACACCTTCTTCTCCAGTATTTGGATGAAGAGAAGAGAGAGACTCTTACCAAAGATACTTCTGTCTCTGTAAAGACTGAACCAGCAGACATCAGTGAGGCCTCCACACCTAACTCTCCCATTACGCCAAGAGAAGAAAAAGAGGCAAAACCTGTTGTTATTAGTACTGCCAGTAGTACTACTGATCAAAATGCAACTGCAATGCCTGACAATGTCAGTGTAGTATCTGAACAAGTTGTGCCTTTGGCTGCTGATATACCATTGTGCACATCAAACACAGCGGACAGTACTCAGCCCGCAAAAGAACTAAGTAATTCACTCGCAGAATGTGAGGTTGAGGTCAACGTGGCTGAGGACAGTGGAAGGAATACTCCAAGTCCATGTCCATCAACCACAGGTAGTCAACGATGATTAACAAGTAACTTCCTCTGACAATATCATCACATTACCTTGCCTAACAGACGGGAAGAAAAAGGAAATTGGCTGTGCGGATGGTTAGCTTGCAGAGCATGAGTCGTAATTGGGAGAATTAAAGTTACAAGGTCGTGATCGTTTTTCCAACCAGCCATGTTTGATTCAAAGTTGGTGTGGACGGTGGGGGAGGGAGCAGGAAAGTGAGACCCCACCCCCTCCTTCTCCTTCTATTTGACTGTCACTCACCCCCACGATACAAGTTTCATTTTCTCCCCAGCTATAAAAATCAAAGATAGCAGCTATAATTTTCATAATGTTTACATTTTTATTTACTCCTCACAGTTATTCGAGTGGCTACGTATACTATTCAGAGCTTTTAAAAAATCTGAAATGAAATCGAACTTCCTCTTTGTAATTGGAATGAAGTGTGGCTTTCCTTGGTGGCTAAGATAGTAGAAAGTAACTTGGTTGACAAGGAAATCGTGTAATCTGAAGAAAAAGGCTTTTGTTGTTTCAATCTGAACAAATCCCATGGCGCATTTGTAGTAGGGGGAGGTACTTTTGTAGTGTTTAGTGTTTTATACTCATGGACCAGGCAAGCAAAGCATGATATGATAACACACCTGCACTTTCTAATTGTATGTATTGTTTCTTTTTATATTGACAGGCTCCCCAACCAGCGCAGAGAGTGTAACAAGCAGTTACAGTGGTTCTGCTGCAGAGAGAGTAAGTCCAGGACCTGCTCCTGGGAGCCCTGTTGCCTCTGTCAGATTTGGGCACAGGTCAACAAGAACAAATCCATTGTATGGATCTTTGAAGAAGGTATTTAGTTCACACTTGCTTAAAAGTTTTTCTCTAGTGAAAACTGTTGCTGATCATGGTTAAGTTTTAGAAATCGTTTTAAAATTCGTAGTAAATTATGAAATCGTGACCACCCACCGTTGGGATATCAACTTAGCTATGCAGAATTGTCCACTAGCTTGCCATTTTAAATATAAGAAGTATGTTGTCTCTAGAAATTTTTATATCTCCTTTATACATTTTAAAAACATGTTAGGGGTTCATCCACTGAGAACAGCTGTACTAACTTTGTTCTGCACTATCCTCACTGCACTTGCAGAGGTGGCTGTTTCAGTACCTGTATGGACAAAACTTAGTCAATGAAAGACCTCCGAATGGCTTCAAAATAAACGTTAGCAGCCCCATGAATGTACCTTTGAATGGTAAGACAATTCCATCCCCTCTGAGAAGAAATGGGCTGCCAAAAATTATAGGTTAGTAGAGATCTTTCATGACAGTTCAATCACGCAGTGCGTAGAGCGTTTGTACACATATACTCTCCTGAGAAAATGTTATCCATTTTTCGAAATTAATTCCAGTCACCGCTGGTTGCCAATGTACAGTCCACCTGTTTTCTTCTTAATTAAGGGATTGGTTAACATGTTTGCGCAACTTTTGAAAAGCTTCGTGGCTTTCTGTAGTTTTTGTAGGGTGGACTCCAGGCGAGTTCTGTACTGCTTTAGACAAACCATTTTACTCCAAACTTCTACTGTGGAAAATATTTTTTAACTCTGTTTGCAAAGATGTGCCCGCACCCTGGTCCAAGTAAGCTCTTTTTTTATCCATTCTACAAAAGTCTGGCAACTCATTTGGTTTTCTCTCGCACTGATTCTCTGTCTAAGGTTGCGTCGCGCATTTAGAGAATAAATTTCTCGTTGGCTGCCCAAAAGTATGCCTCAGAGATGTTGTTTATCAAGTTTAGTAGCCAAATAAAGAGGAATAGGTTGTGTGTAATTATAACCACCAGCTTTTTCCCTTTTTCAAGATACTTTACCGCTGAAGAAAAGGCACTTGAAAAGATACCGGGAGATGTCGTCCGCATCCGAGCAAACTGCAAATTTAGGGAGAACTGTACCGACAGAGCCAGCGTGTGGCGAGCCTCTTATTGTTAGCTCGCCCGTTGCGCTAGAACAGCAAGTGCAGATTGTATTAGCAGATAGTGTGAACGATTTACAACCACACAAAGGAGAGGCTCTATCGGCTACAAATGAACAAATTCCTCTTAGAGAAGAACTTCTTTTAAAAGTGAACGTTTCAAATGCGTCAAACATTCTGGAGACTGCGAATTCGACAGCTCTTTCAGAGAACAATACACTTACGGTGGCAACGGGCGAGTCTGGTATTTTGCAGAGAAGACCGAGCGATCCTCGACTTGTAAATAATTCACCGGTTTCTAGTATAGCTCCTGTCATTTCACTGGGATATCCTCCGCCTGTGGTGACCTGCGCTGTTTCACCCGTGTCTGTTGCAGCAACGATTCCTGGGCAACCTGTACTGCAGCTTTCACAGGGTAACGATACATCAGGAACGCCAGGAAAGAAAAAGGTACAAGAAGTTCAACCAGTAACCAATCAGAATTTTTTTCGGTTGAGTGACGTCAACCAAAAAATCCTAACAGCCAATCGGAAGAAAGGAAGAAATCGCGAGCAGCCAGTGATGTAGCAAATTGGTTGAAGCGCGGGAAAAAGCAAGTGGCTATAACATTTAGTTTTTTATTTGGTCTAGGTTGTTCAAAAAGACGATAACGCTGTAAGGAGGATAAATATCTATCCAGTGTATAGTGCAGCATGTTTTGTCAACACTTATCCGTTGGATAGCGTTATCCGTATTTTGAGCAACTAGGCCTTGATTGTTTGAGAAAGTGGGGAGAAATCTTTGGACGAATCACTTTGCAAAGTAGATTAAAACCAATGCAATACCAGTTTGCGCTTGACACTTGTATCGAAAATGGCTTTAACTCTAATTATCGTGGCCCGGAGATTGCCAAGAAATTTCAAGATTCACCAACAAAAACTCAGTTTTGTATCTGTGTAATTACACTCGTATTTGTTGTTCTTTGGCAGGTTTCATTGTTAGAATATCGCAATCGATCGCGGAACAGACTGTCAGTGGACACGCCGAGAACATTACCATCGCAGTCTGCTGGAGTGACTAGTGTAACTAATGGGTCATCTTCGTCAAGCTTATCGCATTTAGTCATGAAATCGCCATCACTTCCGAATCTCAGCTCACCATCAACGACACCGTCCTTTGTCCATCGACAGATTTCTAGTAGTGGTGAAATGAACGGGCCTCATGTGGAGCCAGTTAGCCCAGACATGGAAGAAAAGTCTACAGGTAGGGACGACTGCATTGACGAGAAAGCGCTTTTTTTTCTTCCATCGCTGTAAAATCCTTGGAGTTGCGACTCCCAGAGTAACGTATAACAAGGTAAAGTAGGGTTAGAGTGGCAGGGGTGTAAGGAGGAGCAGTAAATATTTATCCTTGTGGTGAAATCAGTTGAAAAAGACTTAAAAGGAACTATGCGGAATCCTTTGTAATTATTTCCCATCTCTTACCAGTCAGAGGTGGTGTACCGTTGCAGTAGCCGTATCGATACACTGCTAGATGTTCGTTGTTATTGCCAAAGCGGTATCGGTTCCTTCTATTAAGAAACGTTTTTTAATAGATCGATCTTTTGTAGGTTCGGTCCAGCGAGTGGCGAAAATTTCTAACAACGCTTATGGAAGGGTGAGCACCTCTTCAAGAAGTTCGATGTTTGGCGAAGTAGATTCACGCCTTAAGAGAGGTCAGTAACCTGTGATTATTTTAAGGCAACACAGCCGTATATTTCGGATGCAGTTTGGTTCTGTTTTATTAAACATTTGCTGGTTATTTGCTTACAGATATTCAAACGAAACACGCGCAAGAGAAGCTGACTTCGTTTATCGCGGAGCAACTGCAAAAAGGTATCTTGGTCAAGTTATGAATTGTGTAAACTCTCTAGTTTGAAGGTGCTGTGCAATTCTGAAGAAAAAATATTTCTAACCTGTCGTTCTTTTATCGTGGTCACTTTACGAAGTAAATGAAGCCCAAAGCTTGATGCCCTTACTTTTTTTACCCACAGGTTCGACTCAGAAATCATCCAAACCGCCCTCAGTGGTTGGTAGATCACCTAGTACCAGCACCAGCAGCGAGTCTTCAAATCCAGCAACGGAACTAACGGGTACGATGCCGCACAAGAAATATTTGTAGTTATTATCCAACTGCACTTGGTAGAGTAAAAATATCGCGCGGAATGGAGTAAAAATTTCCCGCAGTATTGATCGGTTATTAGGACATGTGGTTTATTTTTTGTCCTGTTGGAAAGACCTGTTTGACAGGTTAACCACGCTAACCCTAACCCTAACCCTAACCACGCTCGCGTGTGTTGTTTCAAACGAAAAAATGGACGACATTTTCGTATAAATGAAGCAGTTGGATTATAAATAGCTTGTGAAACGAAGAATTTTGATAATGAACGTACTTCTTTTATTTCTAACACAGGTGACGCGATGGAAATCGAGGACGAGGATAGCAATTCAAACTCCAATATTTACGAGAACAATCTGATGGCAGCTCCTTCCTCTCACTCTCACTCGCAGCATATACCCCATCGTCCTTCGCTTCTTTCACAGTTTGCTCAACCGGTGAGTTGCCATCTTATTCTGTTTACCTGTGCCGCTGTTTGTACAACTGGGGCCTGCGTCGAAAGTTGTGTTTGCGCTTTACGTCATCTGTTAGATTTGGTGGTAAAACTTACGCTAATACTAATGGAATAGATGCTTAAACACGGAAACTCAAATTAATTAACGCGTATTTATTTATTTGTGTGGTTTTTATTGATTTATTTTAGAATTATAGAATAAGTCACTCGCAGCAACCTATGTACTTGGCAACAGCCGCGCCCCAGCTTACTTCTCCGTCGCAGCCACCGACGCGGCTACCAAGCAGTTCGCCTCAGTACCTAGTGACCAGCCCTTCAGCTCCAGCACACGTCCGTTTTCAACCTCCGTACCAAGCCGCGCCATCACAGACGGCTGGTTTCTACCACCACTGAATTTGGTCCTAGCGCCTAGATTGCCCGGCTGACTAGAACACTGTTGTAGTTAAATGAAAGCTGCTATGTCAAATAATGTATTTAGAGACTGGTTTATTATAAATCTCAAGTTAAGTTTTGTCTAGAGCCAAGCTCTTTCTGATCTAGGCGAACGCTTTTGCGTTCGTTCACTATTCACAGACAATTTAAGTTGCTGGTCTTGGATTTGTGTGAAAGACGATGTAAAGAAAAGTGCTAGTTAAACAAATTGTATTTAAATTGGTGATTTTTCGGTCAGTTTAGTCAGCGAGTGGTCAGGATTTGTTGTTCCCGTAATTCTCGAATCAGCTGTGTTAATGTTAGGTTTTACGATCCAATGCGACCGTTCGATTGTGGTATAAAGCCTGCAGAAAGTTGTTTTACATTCTTACATACATCACTTTGTATCATAGCCCTCTGTGTATCTTAAAAACTGTTATTTTAGATGGGAACCAAGAGTTAATAAAGATGTGTATGGCTAACGCCGTTTCGTAACATGGAGTTCTCTTTGCTAAGGTCATATTTTAATATAACGATAACCAGAAAAATGGGTGTCGTATTTTGGCGTATTCTGGTGAACATATCTGAAGAAATTCCCTCATTCTCATTGGCTAGTTAATGGTTACTGTTTCTAGGAGTGACAAGCGTAGACGCGAGTTGGTCTGGACAAGCTGAGGAAGTACACCGTCCGTTGAAGATTAAGTTTGCGATGAAATTAAACTATGGTTTTTATTATTCAAGCCCCACTACAGTATATATGATAATGTACATGACAAGATCACCACCTTCTGAATGACTGAAAACGAGTGCGAAGTTTTAACACGAGTGCAAATTACAAATAGCGTGCGCACGCTTTAAGAATTTCGTCCGTCTTGAGTCTGATGGTTTTTCGTGTGCATCATTAACAAGTAATAACCATTTCTATATTAATTTGGTGTATTAAGCTCAAATTTTCCATGGACTACACATTTCACTTTGCCATACGGGCTCGAGCGTGTGTTCTTTGGAAATTTACTCATGCTCACTAGCGCCAAATTGCACACGAAGTAATGTTATTAGTTATACATAGCGAGATAAAATCCTCACAGATGTATCCTCATCTGGTGTAAGAAGTGGTCAAAAATGTAAGGTGCACTATTTAGCTTCTGAACAAAATACGCCGCGCGTGTAGCGGAGCTCCCTGCGTAAGGGAAAGCGTAACGTGGTGACCGTTAAGCTCTTACGCTTTCACGTTTGTTTCACACCACGTACGATTCAACGAATGTTTTTTTGCTCGCATTCAGTCTAAATGCTTCTCGTGATCGAATATGCTTCCGTTGAAACTAGGGAATATCCGAGGATACACCCAACTGACAATCCCCAATTTTCAAACCCTCCATCTAATACGATAAGCGTTCGTTTGAAATAGAATTTAAGATGAAAGAGCGTTACTCAACTGTTACAGATGAAGGGGCATGTCTGTTTCTTCTTTAAGTTGTACCAGAGAATACAGAAAACTCGAACATCCCACGCAGGAAACAGCAAGTCGTTCATTTTTTCCGGGCTTTGCGATAATATTTCAAGGATCATAAACACAATAACCTCCATTTGGCGCTAATATATGCTCGTATATTTATCCTTGGACATATCTGTTCCTCGAAGCTCACAGGTTTCCTCGAGCTTCGCTCTCAGAAAGGTGTTCGCATCATGGAACAGATAATGTCGCTTTCTAAATGAAGATCGGTTGCTGAGTTTCAGATGAAATGCTCGAAGAAATACACATTAATGAGGCTAGAAATTTTTTTTTTTTAATATCCAAGGGAGCTTGAATCCAAATGAACGTATCCATGCACGATCCTTCCGCGAAAATGAGCTTTGCATTTTTTAAATAAAGCCTGTCGGTATTGATATGTCTAAACAAAGGTTAGGAAAAATATCAAGGAAAAAATTACCACACGTTGAACTTCTACAACTTGGCTAGCCCCGCAGGCTAACGTTTAAAAAACCAATAAACTTCAAAAAACAAGAGTTCTGTATTACTCCCCAACCTCCCCATGACAGCTATTTCTCTTTCTGATCCTCGCTTCCGCCTTGCAGGCTTAAGCCTGCTTCGTTATCACTTCCCCGCCTTTTCCTAATTTTCAAGGAAAAAAGTCCTAGGAACGAGTTTGCTTAGCTAGTGGAGGCAAGAGATTATGAACCGCAGTCTTTCATGATCTCTTGATTGATAATGATAAAAATAATTAACATAATAATGATGATGATGGTGATGATGATGGTGATGATGGTGACGACGGTGGAGATGATAATAATAATGATAATGATTTTGATTGAAAAATACGATACAGTTAAAAAAAAAAAACATTTGAACTAAGGAAATTCATCAAAACTCGTGAAATGGCTACAGATCACGAAATAACAACCCTCAATTTAATGTCTGATGTGGGTATACTCGGAATTGATACTAGAAATAGTTTTCCAAATTGTTATTATTCCTTGTCGAGATAGCTTAGTTGGGAGAAGCGTCAGAATGAAGATCTGAATGTCCCTGGTTCAGCTTCGCTCTGCTTTGAACAATCCCGGGTCCTGACAGCACTTTTATTCCTCTTTCTTTCCTTTTTGTTTTGCGCCATTTACCTTTCTCAATCAAATTTCTTTATTTCTACATTTACATACCAAAGAAGAACTGTTTTTTAAAAGTTGAACAGATGTTCTCGGTTTCCATACAGACTAATCACTGTGAAAAGGAAAACTTAGAAATAACACCTAAAATAATAGGTCTACTTAAGATCCAATGCTCAAAGAATTTTCTGGGCCTTACCGGGCCCTCGATTGCATTTGAAACTATATAAAAAATGTTCTTTCTTTACCATTTTTCTCAAGTAAGTTTATGCAAAACAATGGCGAATGTCCAACGCATATTTGTTTTTGTCTTGTTTTGGTTTGGTTTTGCTTCCTCAATGAAGAGAATTGTTTGTATCTATAATTTTGTAACTGTTGCGTTTTTTCATATTGGTGTTCAGCTTTCCCCGAAATTAATGATAATAAAAATAGTATTAATCCTAATCTATATAAAAAAAGGTCTTTTTCATACGATATAGATATAATTATATATATATATATATACAATATATATATATATGCAAATTGTAATCATCATCGTTTTTCTTCGTAAATCTTGAATTACAAAAGGAAAAGGACAAAATGCTTAGAAACAACTGACTTGTTTTCAAATGAAAACGAACAGATTCGTTATTTCTGTAATAATAAAAATGATACTAATAACGATAGCACCAATAATAATAGTAACACTGATGATTATGTTGATGATGGTAATGATGACAAAGTTCACGATGATAATAACAAAGATGATAATAAAATAATAACGAAGATTATAACACTCTTCACCAAAAATTCCAAAACTTCAAAAGATCAGTTTTATGTAGACAATTTTGGTTTGAGCATAATCAGAATTGACGGCAAATTCATTTTCTTTTTGTTGCCGTGGCGAGATAGCTTAATAAATGTCCCTGGTTCAATGTTGTTATGCTCTGAACAATCCTGAGTCTCAGCATGAATTTTGTTTCCTTCCGTTTTGCGATAATTACCTTCTTCGTTCAAATTTTCTTTTTTCACATTTTGTGGGATTTCTTGCTGTTTCTTTCTACACGAGTTCGAAATTAAATACCAAAGAAGAACCGTTCTCCAAATTTAACGCTGCGTAGATGTCCTCAATTGGCATACAGATTAATCACAACGAATCTTTTTAAATAATAGCATTAAAGATCCAGTGATCATACAATTTATTGGCCTCACTTAAACTCTTAATTGTATTTTACATTATATTAAAATATTCTTTTTTTTATCATCTTCTCATGCATGGTTGCAAATTTACCTTGTGCATTCAACTTTTGGGTTGATTGCACTCAGAAGTGTTAGAATTGAAAGTAATTCATTTGTTATTTGTTTCCCATATATTAATCGCCAGCCGAGATAGCTCACTTGGGAGAGCGTCAAACTGAAGATCTAAGGGTCTTTGGTTCAATGCTGTTCAGCCATGAACAATCCCGGGTATCAGTACAATTTTTGTTCCTTATTTTTTCCCCTTCTGTTTGGCGTTATCATTCTTTTTCAATTTAACTCCCATTTTGCATCATTTGAATTTTCTTTAAGTTTCACCACTGAGCGATTTCGAACTGTTGTTACCATTAAAGGACCGTTTTCTTTGGTTAATCACTCCTTTGCGTTCATCATTTTTTTTTTCCTTTTTGTGCACAACAAAAGACCAGCATGATAATACTGACCTAAGTTATCCATTGTAGTAAGAACCCAGTATCTATGTATTATTATTCTTTAAAAATTTGCTTGTCTAAGTTTAATTTCCATACCGCCGGAGCGACAAACAAAATTACTGAACTAGTGAGCTCAGTTTTGGCTTTCCCCATGCATCGCCTTCGACTTGGTGCTGCCCGTAAACGTCGTTTAATTTGTTCTTTATACTCAATTCGCTGGCTACAATTTAGGCGGTGGGTTTGGGCTTAGTCGATGTAAATTTGCATACTTAAAACTAGATTTCCTGCAATAGGTTTGATTTCATCAAGGTTTGCCAGACTTAATATTTTCCTCGTTTTTGAAAAGTGAAAGACTGATACAATTTCAAGAAATACGCTGACGAGAGAAAGGGAACAATTAGATACGAAAGGTATTGAAAGAAAAAAGATACGAAGGACTTCGGGTCGCTTTAGTTTTACCGTGATCGATGACCCAAGAACTGGGGCCGAATACGCGTTTGCGGGAGTGCTAAAACTGAGCTCGATTACCGCAGTTTTCTCGAGGGGAGGAGCCTAGTCTCAACCGTGAGAAGAGGCTTAAAACGAGACTACGATGCATAAGCGAGAAGACCGAGAAGTAAATCTCTATCATGACGAAAGAGATGTACGCAGTGTGAGGGAGGGCATACTTCTCGTTTATGAGACTTATGTCAATAGTGCTGTTGAGTTTGTTATACTAAATGGTGCGAATGGCTCGAGAAAACCACCGCTGTGCTGAAAATCCGAAAAATTCAATTTAGAGGACTAGGACAATTCCAATAGCGCAACGGATTTACGATTCCCCAAAGGAACTGTAATAATCAAGGAGGGTTGCGTTTTATGGAAAGCAGAGAGGGGTTAATTGGGAAAAGAAAAACTACCCAATAGAAAAAGTTATTATTTCTAGAATTCATGCTATCAAACTACTGTACATTTTTCCACTACGAGGAGTCTCTCGTCTGATTTTGTTGCATGTCTTACGTTTTCTGGCTTGAAAAAAGGGAGTAGGAAAATGACAGCGGAACCTACAAGAAGTATAACTCCCGTCATGTAAAATACTGGAACATATGACCCCAACTCATCTGCCATCAGACCTAAATGAAAGGGAAGAAAAATAAGGATGAAAATAATGTTAAAGAAAGATGAAAGAATCCATCAAAGAATCCATTCATGATTTATCAATTCGTTAATGAAATATTACTTCATCCATACCCCTGGATAAAGTTTGTCTTCTGAATCTTGCGAAGAGTTTACTTCGCTTTGTGATTGGTCCAGAAAACTGGCACCACTATCTCAACCAATCAGATGCAAAACTAAAATTAATCACGACTTGGCCGCTCGCGTTTTCTCGCGCTTTAGAAATTTTGGTTGCTTTTACTTTGAGTTCAAGTATTTTCCTTTCTTCCGATTAGCTGTTGTGATAAATTTGCTTTCAGTTTCATGACACTTAATCGAAAACAAGTTAACTTGTCAAGTAAGTAACAATTGTTTGCGAGTCACTTTCACCTTTTTACTCCCATGGGTGACCAAGACAGAATTTCTCCTTACATTATCAATACAACATCAAGCAGACAAGTGATGAGAATAAAGAAAAGTATCATTTAGGGGATTATAAGTTGATCCAATACCAAATTCTCCAAACTAACATGACAAGAACTGTATGGGAGATAGTAAGGAGAATTACTAATGAGATCTTGGGAGTTAAAGGGTTAAAAAGGCAAAGTCGTCGACGAAATTTGTAAAGCGCACTCGCAGAACGTGCCAAAGCCGAGAAAACCACACAAGTAGGAAAAGGCGCGAAATGTAATCACTTGAATTTAACTTGGCATATGACTGGTTTAGATTGCATCTGAATGGTTGAGGAAGTGGCGCAAGTTTTTGAAGGGAATTCATAGGTTGGCGTAAAGCAAAAACAATTATATACCAGTTTGCTTTATGGGCTCTAGGAAAATTCTCTTTTCATTTTCTTTCAATTATTTTCTTCTGAACATACCTCCAAGCGCAGGGCCGGCGGCTGCTATAACACAAATGACTGAAAAACTAATCCCCAATGCAGTAGCTCTTTGTTTGTCTGAGAAACAGCCGATGATGGCAACACAAACGGAGCAGCCTGTAGCTCCATCAGCAAATCCCCAAACTACTAAGTATAAAATGAAATGAAAATATTTCGTGGCCAGCGGTAACAATAACGTGGCGACTCCATTGATGGCGCCTGCCAACTGATAAATGAAACAGGCATCAATTCCCTTAATGTCACACAGCCGACCAATCACAGGCCGGATAATTAATGACGTCAGGCCACTGTATAGATAAAGGCGAGAGGCCTTTGTCGCTGGCATACCAACTTCCTCACAGTAGCGGGCCTGTAAGAGGGAACAAAACCCCTTTTAGTGTAAACACTAACTTTTCGTTTATAAGTGTAGGCAACAACACGATTTCGAGTGCAATTTGGTGTTACTAAGCAAGAACAAATTTTTAAAAGACAACAAAATTGCAAGAGTCCGTAGAGCAATTTGTAGTCTTTGAAAAAATCACAATAGCCTATTTACACAAAATTGCAAACGAAATCATGTTATTACTAAGTAGTAATTTACAAGAAAAACGCATTACAAAAAGTCAGCGCGCAGAAAAACGCGACTGGAACGGGATAACTTATTTTCTTTTGTTAAATCCCACACATTTCCTACTATTGGTTTCTTAATGCGACAGTTTTTCCTGCATACACCCTGCTGTTTAATAAAAAAAAATAGAAGAGATGTTCAAAATGAGGAAATGATCCTCTCAGGTGAGGTTTAATTTACGCAATAGCAGCAAAAGTACCAGATACTATTTGGGTGCAACTGAGAGGCATGGGTTCGAGTCCCGTCGGAGCCTGAATCTTTCGGCCTTCTTTTCAGCAATTGCTCATATCGCAGATCTCATGCAAGGATCGATTATTCACTTGAATTTCACCTGCAGGTCAAAGTGGTGATTTATTTCATAAACATCATTCTCAGGGCAGTGATGAAACAGATGTAACCGTAATACTTGGGTCTCCTGTACCTACAGGATAAGGTGTCGTCTACCGATGCGAATCATTCCTACATGCTGACTTTACCTTACCTCCCACAGAATGTATTTGGGACGC